TCTCTGAATGCGTTTGATTTTTTTTTTTTTTTTTCGAGACAGAATTTCTGTCTTGTTGCCCAGGGTGAAATCCAATGGCACAATCTTGGCTCACCACAGCCTCTGCCTCCTGGGTTCAAGTGACTCTCCTGCCTTAGCCTCCTGAGTAGCTGGGATTACAGGCATGCGCCACCACGCTCGGCAATTTTGTATTTTTAGTAGACATGGGGTTTCTCTATGTTGGTCAGGCTGGTCTTGAACTCCCTACCTCAGGTTGATCTGCTCACCTCGGCCTCCCAAAATGCTGGGATTACAGGCATGAGCCATTGTGCCCAACCCTGATGGTTGTTCTAAATGTAACGGGAAGCTGTTAGAGGGCTTTGAGCAGGGGAGCTACATGATCTACCTTACGTACGTTTTCAAAAGTTGACTGTGACTGCAGCTTTGCAGTTTTTGACTGTGGCTGCTTTACTAAGGTGGTAAAGTCAAGGCAAGGAGTCCAGGCCCAAGAGTCTGGAAGAGATCGTGGGAGCTTGCATGAGGCAGGCAGCATGGAGACAGAAGTCGATGGAGCGGAGAAAAGTTGTGAAGCAGAACAGATTGAATTTGAGGCTGAGGAGGAAATATGAAACCTCCTTTGAAACTTTGTTGAAAGGGGTGCAGGATAATGAATAATACTAAGCAGTTTTCTGTCCCTAGGGGTGAAGACATCAACTTTGGAACAGACCTTTCTTTGTTTTAGGAAAATTATCACAATAGGTATAGTACGTGTCACTTCGTTTTTTCATTCAACAAATCTTCACTATGAGCTGGGCTACACACTGTTCTTGGTATATCAGCAAAACAAGCAGAAAAGAAGCATAGAACTTGCATTCTGCCAGACAGACACATGCAAAAATGAACCAATTATACAGCATATTAGGGGGCGATTCCTGCTTTGGGAAAAAGAGAAATGTTAATAGGATAAGAGAAATCAGAGCACCAGATGTGGATGGGGAGAGGTTGTGGTGTTAAACAGACACGAAAGGCGCATTCAGTGGATGACATCCGTAAAATAGAAAACAATTCCATGTAAACATGCCAAATACCAGAAGCTCCAGGAGAGCAAGGGCCATGCTGCTTTCTTCATTCTGTACAATAGGAATGCAATAGTCATGCACCACATAATGAACCACACATTTGGTGGTCCCATAAGATTATAAAACTCTATTTTTACTGTACCTTTCCTAGGCTCTCTATGTTTAGATTCACAAACATCATTCCATACAACCTGCAGTATTCAGTACAGTAACATGCTGTGAAGGCTTGTAGCCTAGGAGCAATAGGCTGTATCATATAGCCTAGGTGTGTGCAGGCCATCTAGGTTTGTGTAAGTGCACTCAATGATGTTCACACAACTATGAAATCGCCCAAGTATACATTTCTCAAAACGTATCCGTTTCGGTAAGTGATGCATGTCGGTATTTGCTGAATGAATGGATCTGAATGCATTTGTTGATGTTTTGGTTTGGGACTATAAATTGTTTTCTAAGTTTGAGTAGAATTTGTGAGTCCAAGGACGTAGGATTTAAAAAATTGTTTTTGGGGCTGGGTGTGGTGGCTCACGCCTGTAATCCCAGCACTTTGGGAGGCCAAGGCGGGAGGATCACAAGCTCAGGAGATCGAGACCATCCTGACTAACTTGGTGAAACCCCGTCTCTACTAAAAATACAGAAAATTAGCTGGGTGTGGTGGTGCACGCCTGCAGTCCCAGCTACTAGAGAGGCTGAGGCAGGAGAATCTCTTGAACCCGGGAGGCGGAGGTTGCAGTGAGCCAAGATAGCGCC